CTCCCTCCCTCTCCCCTTCCTTGCTACTTTCCTTCCTTCCTCCATCCATTCTTCTTTCCTCCCTCTCTCCTTCCTTCCTTCCTCCCTCTCTCCTCCCTCCCTTCCCTCCCTCCCTCATTCCTTCCTTCCTCCCTTCCTTCCTTCCTCCCTCCATCCATTCTTCTTTCCTCCCTCCCTCGTTACATTCCTCCCTTCCTTCTCCCCTCTCTCTCATCTTTCTTTTCTTTCTTTTTTTTTTTCAGATGCCAAAAGTTCAGTACCGGTCCAACGTCAAGCCCTCCACATTTGCCTACCCAGCCCCCTTGGAAGTGCCAAAAGAGAAGGAGAAGGAAAAGGTTTGTAGCAGGCTCCCTCAGGGGCGGCCTCTGGGCATCCGGGGCCCTGTCCTTAAAGGCGGGGGTCTCCAACCTTGGCAACTTTAAGACTTGTGGACTTCAACTCCCAGAATCCCTGGGGATTGTCACGTTTGTGTGCATGTTGAGTCTGGTCTCTGGTGTGAGGTGAATTTCGTTGTATGTATACTGTGCATATCCGTACAACGACAATAAACAATTCAATTCTATAAATGTAAATGGAAACCAATATTTAACCAGCATTAAATTAACAATGTAGGGAAAAAGGGGGAAATTAACTGTTATATCTACTGTATTTCTATGCTATAGTACAGGGGTGTCCAACCTTGGCAACTTTAAGACTTGCGGACTTCAACTCCCAGAATTCCTCAGCCAGCTTTGCTTGTGGACTTTAAGACTTGTGGACTTCAACTCCCAGAATTCCTCAGCCAGCTTTGCTGGTGAGGAATTCTGGGAGTTGAAGTCCACAAATCTTAAAGTTGCCAAGGTTGGACACCCCTGCTTTAGGGCTTCACTGGCCATTGGTAATTGTGCCAGACAAATAGACAGATATTTTTTTAAATTTATTACATTTACATGCCTCCCGTTCTCCTCGATGGGTGAGGGGATGGGTGATGGACAACCTACGGGGAGCAAAAAAGCCAAAATCCTGAATTTCTTTACTTCCTGTACAAAATTGAACTTCCTGCTTCGTAAACAGTTTTTTTTTTTTTCCCCAGGAGTAGATCCTCAGGGAAAAGGATTCTGCTCGGGGCTCCTACAGAAAAGCAAGCAAACGATGCCACGGCTTGGCTCTTCCTGACCAACCTTCACCCCATCTAATTTCACTCCCAGACCCATCATCCCCTCCCTTTTCCTTAGATAATCGGACACAGGGAGGCCCGTAGTAAATTTTCAGGACACATACATACATACGTACATACAAACTTGCTTCTTAATACCTGCCTACCTATTAAAGTGCTTTTGTCTGCTGTTATCTGAGCAAACTTCCCTTTGAAAATTCTTGGGCAGCTTCTCTAACCTCTTTTCCTTCTTCCCCGGTTGCCACGGCCAGGTTTCTACCGCTGTCTTGTCCATCACTGCAAAAGCCAAGAAAAAAGAGAAGGAGAAAGAAAAAGAGAAGAAAGAAGAGGAGAAAATGGAAGTGGTGAGTCGACTCCGGCCTCCTCTAGTTGTTCCTGGGACAGTAGCAATCACACGCTGTTCCCAAAACCCTCTTGGTTTTATTTCAACGCCTGTGGATTCTATGCATTCACAGCCCGTAATCACAGTCCCAAACAATTTATGAATAGTCCAACGGAAGTCCGCCACGGTCCTTCGGGATAAGGCTGAGAAGCACCCACCTTTACCTCTTTTGAAAGACACAAAGTCAACACAGCTTTAGAGTTTAAACTGACCAGAACGAACAAAGTTGCTTCCTGCAAAGGCTCATGTCCCTTTGCTCCTCCTTTATGTCTTATGGGAGGGGCCAACCACCTCCAAGCCTTACTCCCAAGTCGCCCCTTTTGTCTTTACTGTTCTTGCCTTCTGGCAGCTCTGTGCATGCGCGCACTGAGAACAGGCTCCCCTTGTTCCTCTGCCTCGCTGATGTCCGAGCGGCTCCGGAGTCGACACATAACTCTCAGGTGGCCCTTGGCCCCATCTCCGTATCGGACACAGGACCCTCATCCAAGCCCTCCCCAGGCTCCAGGACCGGCCCACGTTCCTCCCCGCTGTCCAACTCTGTTGCCAGCTCTGCAGGCCGCCGGCAGACCACAACACTAATCTGGTTCGGAATCAGGAAGAGCGCTGATTTCTCCGTGTCAGGAAAGAAACAAAAAATGTCCCAGGAATGTAGTGACAAGACGCTGAGAAAGGAAGTTTTTGGGAGCTCACTCAGGTTTCCCCAAAGTGAGAAATCTCTCTGCTGTCTCAAAATATAGACTGTCCTCAATTTTGGACCACAATTAAACCCAAAATTTCTGTTGCTAAGCGAGACATTGGTTAAGCGATTTTTAAGCGATATACAACCCGCCCCGCCCCCGTGTATATTGTAATATTGTACATTGTGTGTATATGTGTGTGTGTGTGTGTGTGTGTGTGTGTATTCATAGATTTTCACGGGTACAGGTATGTAGGTCTAGGTGTGTTC